GTATATTTCACTTTATTAATGCAGAATCCAGGAAAACATTTCATCATCACAGGATTTTTATAAACTCAACCATGATACAAGATATAGAAAGCAACCTGTTTTGATTCATCTTCCTTCTTAGTAGATGAATCCAAGTAAAAATTCTGCAGCCAAGTTGAAGAATAAATCACCTGATTAGAAGGATATACAGGTAATTGGTATTGAGTGACGGGAAGGATTGTGAGGCTGAGTTTATGGCTGATGTGTCAATTAACAGGGATTTAGAAATTCCCCCTTGTCCAGGCTTTAGACTTATTGGGAATGGTCATGACTAGGAAATTGACTGGGCCACCATAATGAGTCCCACGGTTGAACCAAAAGTCAGAATTCAGGGTGTAAGTGCACAGCTGAAAGTCATGGATAAACACTCAGTATTCAAACAGGCAGAACATTGTTATAAACTAGACCTGAAGACTTCGGAAAAACAGAGTGGAGGGACATGAGCCCAATCTGGCTACGAGGGAGAAATATAGTATATGGAGACTGTGGATAATGTCTCAGGATGAAAGTCAGAGAAATTAATCCAAATATCTATACAACAGAGGCATATAAAGGATTGAATGTGCTATTTCTGTTTTAGGCAAGCTTCAGAGCATGAGCTTAGGAAAGTTAGTGAGGTACGGGCTTTTCCTGTTGGGCAGGGATTAGTAGCAGCAGATGTTTCTAGAAGAAGCTGAGAGTCAAACCCTCAGTACTTCAGGATGAGCTTCCAAACTTCTTCCCTATAGTATCTGAGAGAATGGTTCAGGATATGTAGTACTGGGCAGGGTCCTCTATAACAGCAGCTGCTACAGCCAGGATTCCCCTTCAAGTATTCCTCATGCTTGCTTGTCCAGGGACTACAACCTCTCCTGTGATACACATCCATCCAAGTAATGCTATACAAGATGGGCCTGGGGGTCTACACCGAGTCCCAACCACTTCTTCTCCCCTTGTCATCTTTGGGGTCTGGCAGCTATATTCTGTAGGGGGAATTACATGCCTTCCTCTTTCAGTGAAGTAACCCTCAGTTTATCTTTTTAAGAGAGAAGATCCACTCCAAAATAATTCCAAACTGCCAATTTGCCTTCCAACTGGAGTCATGAGCAGGAGACCTCTGCTACTAGTTATGATTTCAAGGTGATTGTCCTACACATTTCTTGATAAACAGTAATAACAACAGAAGCAGTAGCAGCAACACTTCAATCTTTGATAGTGCTTCACCTCATGTGATAATTTATCTGACTTTGCTTAGAATTACAGTCTTAAGGAATAGTAGTAGTAGTAAGGACTAAGGTGTGCCTGACCCAAGCCATGGTATTTTCAATGGCCTCATTGAAAGCTGGACAATAAATAAGGAAGGCCAAAGAAGAATTGATGCTTTTGAATTATGGTGTTGGCAAAGAATATTAAATATACCATGGATTGTCAGAAGAACAAACAAACCTATCTTGGAAGAAGTACAGCCAGAATGCTCCTTAGAAGCAAGAATGGCAACCCTTCATCTCACATATTTTGGACATGTTATTAGGAAGGACCAGTCCCTGGAGAAGGACATCATGCTCGGTAAAGTAAAGAGTCAGCGAAAAAGAGGAAGTCCCTCAGTGAGATGGATTGACACAGTGGCTGCAACAATGGGCTCAAACATAGCAATGATTGTGAGGATGATGCAGGACCAGGCAGTGTTTCATTCTGTTGTATATAGGGTCAGAATCAACTCAACAGCACCTAACAACAACAATAATAATGATAGATATTTACTGAATAGTTAGGAATAGGTGCTTTTCAAAGAGCTTTTTACATAAGTGCATTTAATCCTCAAAATCATTTGTAGTACTGTTATTACCTGCATTTTACATAGAAGGAAATCGAGGCACTGAGATTTACTTATTTTGAGAAGATCATATAGCTAATTCTTAATGGAGTTGGGATTAGAACATAGTCTGACCCAGCAGCCCACATGCTGAGCCATTGTTCTATGATGCTCATTTATACCGTGGGCATCAGCTTTTCAGAACTACATATGTTTTCACAAACATGAATTGATTTTTCGCAGTCCTGAATTTTGAACACATTGTTCATACAGACTAAGAGCCCCTCTGACACACGTTTTCCTAGAGCAATCATGTTGTTGTTGTTGTTAGCTTCCATTGAGTCACCCCCTCCCCGTCACTGCAACCCCATGAACAATGAATGAAAACTGCCTAGTCCTGTGCCATCTTCATGATCAATTGTGGATCAAACCATTGTGATTCATAAGGTTTTCACTGGTCAATTTTTAGAAGTAGATCACCAGCGCCTTCTTCATTGTCTGTCTTAGTCTGGAAGTTCCACTGAAGCCTGTTCAGTATCATAGGAACATGCAAGTCTCCAATGACAGATGGGTGGTGCCTATATATGAGGTGCATTGGCAGAGATTTGAACCCAGTTCTCCAGTATGGAAGGCAAGAATTCTACTACTGAACAGTTTTGCCCAGATTCTCACAATGTAATGTTATTACTGATCCTCCACTAAATCACATTTTAAGCCCCCTTTGCACAAATTACATTGTTTTTTAATGTCCTGTCTTCACATATTTCAATGGACTAGATCCATTTTAAGAGCAGGGACCGTATGTCATTCATCTTATGCTCCAAGTAACTAACACAAAACCTAGGCTATAGTAGGAGCTAAAAATGCTTACTGAATAATAGTTTTATGAGAAGAGAATCAATGGAATGATAAAATTCCTTGAGGGATAGTAGAACCTTGACTGTCATTTTTTTAATATTATTTCTAGAGAACAGCCTTTGTAAATGGCATTGAGGAACCACAGCACCATCACAGAGTTCTTCCTCCTCGGGCTATCAGCCAACCACCATATCGAGGCTTTCCTCTTCGTGCTCTTCCTGGTGATTTACCTTCTGACCATAATGGGAAACCTCATGATGCTGCTGGTGATTAGGGCTGATTTCCGCCTCCACACTCCTATGTACTTCTTCTTGAGTCACCTCTGTTTCATTGATCTGTGCTTTTCTTCAGTCACTGTGCCCAAAATGCTGGAGAATCTCCTGTCTCAGAAGAAAACCATATCAGTTGAGGGCTGCCTGACTCAGGTCTTCTTTGTGTTTATCACTGGAGGAACAGAACTCCTTCTGCTCTGTGCCATGGCCTATGATCGCTATGCTGCCATCTGCCACCCTCTGCTCTATGGACAGATCATGAGTAAACAGCTGTATATGCAGCTTGTGTGGGGTTCCTGGGGACTGAGCTTTCTGGATGCTCTCATCAATATCCTGCTAGCTATGAACATGGTATTCTGTGAGGCCCAAATCATCCACCATTTCATCTGTGAGATGCCCTCTATCCTCCCTCTGTCCTGCTCTGATGTCTCCAGGAACATCACTGTCTTGCTTTGCTCCACTCTCCTGCATGGGCTGGTAAGCTTCCTTTTGGTTTTCATCTCATATGCCCGCATTATCTGCACCATCCTGAGCATTAGCTCTACCTCAGGCAGAAGCAAGGTCTTCTCCACCTGTTCCTCCCACCTCACAGCAGTGACACTTTACTATGGCTCAGGTGTGCTCCGTCATCTTATGCCAAACTCAGGTTCCCTCATGGAGTTGATGTTCTCTGTGCAGTACAGTGTGATCACTCCCATGCTGAATCCTCTCATCTACAGCCTAAAGAACAAGGAGGTGAAGGCAGCTGTGAGAAGAACTTTGAAGAAGTATTTGCTACATATCAGGTCCTGAAATAAAAACAAGAGGTTGGTGGAGAATTGGGAAAAAGTTGCATACAACAAGACATTGGGTGAGTTTACAGTAAGGAGTACTCCTGACTACCCACGATGTCTGATGCTGCAAGTTAAGTTAGAAGTATATGAGAGAATGGCACAAGGTTATGACAGGGAGATAATTCACCTTAATTATTTAAGTTATTAAATAATCATCTTTATCTAGAATGTTTTTGTTATAAACATACTGATTCATGTTTCTCAGTCTAAAATATTTGCCTTAAGCTTTGCCTTTAGTAAAATCATTAGCGTCATAAATCTATCATTATTTTAATTAACCTTGGTGAACACATTAAGAGCCATAAATTTGCTAAGAATATAAAGTTGTGGATCTATGGGAGAGAAAAGTCAGACAGGGGTCGGAAGGGAGTAAGAAAAAGAATTCTACCTGGGTGGCCATAGTAGACAGGCATAAAGAACTAAAAGTTCTACAAAGAGAGAGTCAACATTTTGAGGCACATCTCAAACTCAGATAAAATTTCCAGGAACTTTGCTGTTTATATGCAGCATGGTGGCCAGGTCTCCAGTGCGAGAGGCTGCAAAGAGTCTGTGTAGATCTAGAAACTTCATTTTCTCACATAGTCTTCATTCACCATATAGGGGATTTATATTTTCTCCAATAAGCTGATCTCATCAGTGTGTCTTTTCCTTGCAGAGGACAATCATGGAAATGTTCTACATCTGCACTGCCCAATACAGTAGCTACTAGCTCTATGCATGTATTCAGCACTCAAAATGTAGCTAATGTGGCCTAGGAAATAAATTTTTAATTTTATTTAATTTTAATTTAAATCAACGCCTGTGGCCAGGGGCTACCATATTTGACAGTATAGCTCTACATCAGGAATTGGCAAACTTCTGTAAAGGCCCAGATAGAAAATATTTTAGATTTTGAAAGTCATAGATTCTCTGACCCAACTACTCAACTCTACTGTTTTACTTCAAAAGCTGTCACAGACAATAAGTAAACTATTTTGAGCATGATTGTGTTCCTATATAACTTTGTTTACAAAAGCAGGCAGCGGGCCAAATTTGGTCTGTGGCCATGGTTTGTCAACTCCTGCTCTAGACCATGCAGATCCATAGATGCCCCAGGATAGCAGATTTTTTAGTGCTCACTTATCCCCCTGAACTTAGGCTTTAACTTTAATTATAGCCACAGAGTATTTCTCTTACTTTCCTTATCAGCTTAAGATCTTTCTCTTGTATCATATTTGATTGACCAGATCTAAAAGTTATATAACAGTAGTGTTTCAGGACTTGAAGTTCACCACTTTGATGGAAACAATCTTTATACTATTTGATGACACTAGCATCCATCAGTTCCCTCAAGTTTAAAACGTGGATATAACCCTGACTCCTCTCTCTCATTCTCCATAAGCATCCATCGATGGTTAGAACCACTAGTCTTAACTCCTTAGAAGTTCTCTATCCCTTTTGCCACAGCCCTAATTTAGGTCTCCATTATTTCAGAATTAAATTATAAACATCCTCCTGGTCGATCTCCTTACCCACAGCTCTGCCCCTTCAAACTCATCTTCTATGTATAGGATAAAGTGCTGAATCTAAAAATGCTAATATGTCTACGTTCTTCAAAACTTAAAACATTTGTGTCCAGCACTTAGGTATCCCAAGTTACTTTATTCAGCACGGCATGTAAAACCACTCATAATCTGCCTCTATCTACATCTAGGGCCTCATCTCTAATCAATTTCAGTTTCAAATCACTAAATTCATATCTCCCCCTCCCCCGAGGAATCATGCTGCCTTCCACTTATTTTAACTTTGTTCATATTGTCCACTTGACCACTCATCTTCAAGCTGCTGAGTAAGAAATGTCTTCTGTCTATATAAATATTATCTTGTGCACACTGCCATTGCCGTACTTAGCATACTTCATTGTTGCCCTGGCATAGGTCTGACCCTCATTAAACTATTGAAATCCCTGTAGGTCACAGACTGTTTCATAATCATGGTCATAATTATGTTTGTAGCTCATTCTGGGCATTCAAAAGCCAGGGATAAGTAGTTGCCCAAAACAATATTTGACTACCACATGATATGGGCAAATAAATTGCTTACAAACATATGAATCAGGAAATGCAGCTGTATGTTTCTAAATAGAAGCTAAATTTCTAATTTTATACCAACTTCACAGCTATTAATAAATTAAAAAGAAATGCCATTAAGGTAAAATGGTAAATATTACTTCATCTGTAATACAGTTTCAATCTTCTCAATTATGTAACATAAAAGAATAGCTCCAAATATCCAGTATGACTCCTGACCAAACTCTCGTTATTATATTTATAAACCATTCAGGTTTCAGTGGTGCCCCTTGGGAGTTTATACAAATCAATGACTCAAACAGTTCTGTAAAAGCCTACCATCTAAAGGAGCCCTCAGAAGCTCATAACTGTATTCTTTTGGTCCCAATACAAATTTCAGTGTCATAATTGAGATAAAAGTAATCTTTTCAAGTAAAATATATCTTCAAATAATACATTTATATATACTATATACCATATATTGTGCATGATATATGTATATCTTCAACTAATATATGTAATAATATAATGTGTATTCAACTTACATATATATGTATATGTATTTTACAATTAGATGTAGAAAACTAGTTCTCAAAAATGTATTATAAACCTACTATACAGCTACAGTAGTCAAAACAGCCTGATACTGGCACAATGACAGACACATAGACCAATAGAACAGAGAACTCAGATGTAAATCCATCTACCTGTGGTCACCTGATCTTCTACAAAGACCCAAAATCCATTAAATGGGGAAAAGACAGTCTTTTTAACAAATTTGTGCTAGCAAAGCTGGAAGTCCATCTGTAAAAAAATGAAACAGGACCCATACCTTACACCATACACAAAAACTAATTCAAAATGGATCAAAGACATAAATTTAAAACCTAAAACTACAAAGATCATGGAAGAAAAAATAGGGTGAACGCTAGAGGTCCTAATACACAGCAGAAATAGGAAACAAACCATAATTAACAATATGCAAACACCAGAAGATAAACTAGATAACTGGTATCTTCTAAAAATTAAAACTTATGCTCATCAAAAGACTTCATCAAAAGAGTAAAAAGAGAAACTACAGACTGGGAAAAAATTTTTTTGACCATAACATATCTGACGGAGATCTAATCTCTAAAATCTATAGGATAATCCAATACCTTTACAACAAAAAGACTAATAATCCAATTAAAAAATGGAGAAAGGAAATGAACAGACACTTCATCAAAGAAGACATTAAGGCGGCTAACAGACACATGAGGAAATGCTCATGATTATTAACCATTAGAGAAATGCAAATCAAAACTAAAATAAGATGCCATCTCACCCCAGCATTACTGGCACAAATCAAAAAAACAGAAAATAACAAATGTTGGAGAAGCTGCAGAGAGATTGGAACTCTTATGCATTGCTAGTAGGAATGCAAATGGTACAACCATTTTGGAAAACGATATACTGCTTCCTTAAAAAGGTAGAAATAGAAATACCATATGATCCAGCAATCCCACTCCTAGGAA